ATCCTTCCCTGGGGCCTTCACAGGAAGCATGATCCTGCCAATACCTTGATTTTGGACTTTTAGTCTCCAGAACTGTAAAACAATATAAATCTGTTGTTTTAAGTTACTGTCAGTAGTACTTTTGTTAAGCAGCCCTGAGAAATGAATACAAGCACCTTTCCAAAACTGTACATTATCTTCTTCATACACAGGAGGAGAGTCTTTGTGACTATTTTTCTTTTATCTTTAATGTTTTGACATAAATTTGTATGCTCATTTATAAGATCTTCAAACTCCTATCACTGCTAACACTTTAAAATTAAAATCCATTTAATATTTTATTTTTAGGGCAGCGCTTGTGGCTCAAAGGAGTAGGGCACCACCAACAACAAACATTTGATCCTTAATAGATCTAAGCAATGTCTATGACTCCCTAATGTTCAAATCAACAGATTCTATTTTTCAGGTCCCATTAAAGTCAATAAGAATGTTTAAAGCAGTAATTTTCAACTGGTGAGCTGTGAGAGGATCTTAGGCGTGCCACAAAAATTTTTAAAGATTTCACAAGGACAGAGAAGCAAGAATCCAGTGTACCCAATACTAATATGAAGCCAGTAGACAGTCTAATACATGCCCACATAAGAGAAAAACTCCAATCAATTCAAAGTGGGGGGGGTGGAGGAGTGAGGGAGTAGGGAGAGGGGAGGAGGGAGGAGGATAGGTGTGCTCCCACTTAATGGGCACAATGTAAGGTGTATGGCATACCTCTTGCGGGCGGGACACAGTTATAAGAGGGACTCTACCTACCAAATGAAATGAAGACATTGTAACCTAATTCTTTGTAACCTTAATTAACCTGAAACAATAAAAAAAGTACTAAAAAAAATTTTTAAGATCATTAAATTATTTTCAAAAGAAGTTCAAAGTACATTTTTTTTTTTTTACTTTTTTTGATCAACATAATTTAAGTGTGCCATGGAAGTTTAACTATACGTTCAAGTGTACCATGAGATAAAAAAGGTTGAAAAACACTTATCTAATATAATATCATAATAGAGAGGAAAGAGGAATTAAGAGAAAGATAACAAGGAAGAATAGTTTAGGGATTAAAAGAAATCATTTAACCTTTTGTAAGCTATAAAGTTATCAGTAAATGCAATTTTTTTTATTAAGATAGAGTCTTACTTGTAGCCCTCTGTAGAGTGATGTAGCATCACAGCTCACAGCAACCTCAAACTCTTGGGCTTAAGTGATTCTCTTGTCTCAGCCTCCCAAGTAACTGGGACTACAGGCGCCTACCACAATGCCCAGGTTTTGTGTTGTTTGTTTAGCAGACTCAGGCTGGGTTCGAACCCACCAGCCCTGGTGCATGTGGCCGGCACCCCAACCACTGAGCAAGGGCGCCCAGCCCATAAATGCAATTCTTAATCCTATCAGTAATCTTTTCTGTTTAAAGCTCTCAAATACGTTAACTTAGTATTTTTTGTTTGCATGTTTGTCTTAAGTTTAGTGTCCACTACTCTCCTTTCCATCCGATTAGGGAACAGACTTCTTCTTTAATTATTAAAATTAATTAATTTTTAGAGACAGGGTCTCTCTCTCTGTTACCCAGGTCCGAGTGCAGTGGTGCAATCATAGTTCATTGTAACCTGGAACCCCTGGGCTTAAGCAATCCTCCTAACTCAGCTTTCCCTACCAGCTGGGATGACAAGAGCACAACATTATGCCATGTAGAGACGGGGTATTGCTGTGTTGCTCAGGCTTGTCTTGAATTCCTGTCCTCAAGTTATCTTCCCACTTCAGCCTCCCAAAGTGTTGGAATTACAGTTGTGAGCTACGGTACAGAGCCGAGGAAACAGGTTCTTAAATTATCCTAATGTATCAAATTCATAACAGAATCACAACCCGTTTTCTTCATTTTACTCCCACATAAACTGTGATTGTTTTCTTAGCTTCTGGCATTACATCTGGCATATAGGAAGTATTAAGTATTTCTTTAGTGTAAAAGCCAGATAGGAAAACAAATTTAGAAAAGATATATTAATATAAACATTCACAGTCCAAGGGCAGACGGCTGGTATGTTTTTATAATGGTTTTTAGATAAGTACTTACTCTTACCATTAAAATTGACTCTTGGTGTTGCTGATTATTCAAAACTTTATTAAAAAGTATAAATTGCTTTAAGACCTCTGACAAAGTAGGGATACTTTATCAGGTTGGTAAGGCTTGTCTCATGCACCTCTTCCAAAGTATTTTGATTTAATACTTTCTTTGGGAAAAATAAGCTACTAGATCAAAGACTATTTGATGTTTTTGGCCTGTAAGCTGTCCCTTTCTTTTGAATGATCAGCCAAATAACCAACATATAGCAGGTAAGTGCTAAGATGGACCCTATGATCCTTGCTTCCTGGTATTAATGCCCTTGCATTACCTCCTCACTGTACCTTGAGTGTATATGGGACCTCTGACTTGCTTCTGATCAACAGAATATGGCAAAGATGGATGTCATTTTCATGATTATGTGACCTCTGTATTGTTATAAGACTCTATTGATGTTCTTTGCTTTTGATAAAGAAAATCAACATATAGAGACCCTTCCTCATAATACAACTGATTTCATGGTCAATAATAATAAATTACCATAAGTTTAGTGGATTAAAATTACATGCACTTACTATCTCATAGTTTTGATGGGTCAGGATTCTAGGTACTATTCAACCTATTCAACTGGATTTTCTGTTCAGGGTCTTTTTTTGGTTTGTTTTCAAGCAGGGTCTAGCTCTGCTGTCTGAGCTAGAGAGCAGTAGCATTATCATAGCTCATGGTAACCTCCGACTCCTAGGCTCAAGTGATTCCCCTGCCTCAGTCTCCAAAACAGCTGGGACTACATGTGGGTGCCACTACACCTGATTACTTTTCTATTTTTTGTTAAGCCAGGGTCTCATCTTGCTGGTCCTGCTCCTCTGCTTCAGGTCTTACAACACTGCAATCAAGTGTTAGGCAGGGCTAAATCTGAGAATTGGGTTCCTCTTCTAGGCTTACTGATTGTTGGCGAAACTGTTTACTGCAGTTGTTGGACTAAAGCCCTCAGAACCTAGAGGCGGTCCACCAATCCCTGGCACTTAACAACTCTCTCCATAAATACGGGAGATGGCTTTCTCAAGGCCAATAGAGGGGTATCTCTGCCATTTTGGATCTGACTTCTTCCATGTTAGATCTTCAGAGCCTCTTTGAAAGGGCTTGCCTGATTAGGTCAGGAATACCTTGGATTATCTCCTGTTTGATTAACTTAAAGTTAACTGATGAGGAATTTTATCTGCAAAATCTTTTACCTTTTCCATATGTGACTTAAGCAAGGAGTGATGTGCCATCATATTCACTGGTCTCACCCACACTGAAGGGGGATTATTCAGGGCAGGTGGGAAACTTGGGGACCCACCTTAGAATTTGGCCTAACTCAACTGGTGTCTTAGGTGAGACATTTGTGAGTTTAACTTCCATTTGGCTCCTATAGTTTATATTTTGATAAGTATTTTTACAATATTGACCTAGAACCATAGCTGCAATAGCCAAATTTTTTTTCAATGTTTTGTCCAGATTTAATGAAATTTTTTTCTTTTTTTTTTTTTTTTTCAGTTATTGTCTGGGGCCAGGTTTGAATCCACTGTCTTTGGTATATGGGGCTGGCGCCCTACTCCTTGAGCCACAGGTGCCGCCCTAAAGTTTTTTTTATTATATTTACATTTAATAAAATTAGAATTCTACTAATGTAATATTTGCACAGAAGACTATCTTGTAAGATTTCAAAATCACATCTACTCTGGACTAACATCTCTAAAAACCAGGTGTCCTCAAACTGTGGCCCGCCTAGGACATTTATCCAGCCCACTGGGTGTTTTTGCCACTGCTGCCTGCCCTGCTTAGCAGTTGTCCTGAGGCCCGCAGTCTGGCCCTCCAACAGTCTGAGGGACAGTGAACTGGCCCCCTGTTTAAAAAGTTTGAGGACTCCTGCTAAAAACCCTTGTGCTTAAAATGTAAAGATGGAGTTTATTTTTCTTTGTTCAAATGAGGCAGGGGTCACTGTGATTGAAGGATATTCAAGCTAGCATGGGGAAAATGAAGGTAGTTTGCTTCATAAATTAAACAGCACTTGTGAGTAAAGGAAAGCAATGTTTCCAATATAGTAGACTTAATGGTTTTATCCTTTGTATTCCCAGTGGCAGAGCAGGGTGTGATTAAATCAACCTTGGTTACATCTGTCAATGCTAGAAACAGGTGAAATGAGCAAGCCTGGCTATGTTCTAGTCTCCTATGGTAGTGATCTGTGGCATGGTCAAATAGTCCAGCTCAAACTACACAATCTGCGATGTTTCCATGCCAAATCACCTCCCTAAAGAAAAGAAGTGGGAAGCAATGAAACTTCAGTACTCAGTTTCTCCACAAAGATATATGGTTTATACAGCTTCTTTACTCAGGGATAAATGCATTTTGCATTCTTTGGTATTTTAAAAGTAGATTTTTCTCCTCATTTTGTCAATCAACAACTCTAAGTACCTCAAAATTTTATTCAAACTCATCCATTATAATAGTGGAACCAACTAGATATAGTTTATTTAAAATATATTCATTATAAACCATTTGACTCAGTTTTTAATAATTGCAAATACCTTAAAAACTGTAACAGTGTCTGAGATTGCAAATATTGTGTTATGAAATTATAAAGAAGTAAAACTAGTGAAAACTATGAAATATGTTAATTAAATTTTCACATACAAAAAATATATTTTTTTACTGCAACACTGAACAGTTAAGGCCACAACACTTGAATAAGAGTTTAAGATACACGTATTTTGAAACTGTTTGTTATAAATGTTAACATAAATAAATATCAAAACTGGTCATACTGTTCAAATCAAATAAAACATATTAACTTGTATCTTTAAAAGACTTATCAGAAACTTTGCTTTAGAAGTCATAACATTTTTCAAGTATAAAGAATAATATACTTGGTGACCATGAAAACATAAATATGCACTTATAGTACTGTACAAGATTTTGATCTTTTCTCTAGACTCGCAGGTGAAGAAGTCTGCTGATTTTGACCGTTGTGATTCTGGTTAGCATCTTTTTTATTGTTTTCCAAAGCTTTTTGATCTCCTATTGGTTTTGTCTCTGGAAGTGGCTCATTAATATTGTGCATACTTTTCAGACTTGCCCTTGACAGCCTTTTGAACACGAAAACCTAGAAAATATAAACATAACAAAATTCATTTCAATAAATCAAACATTCACTTAATAGTATTTAGGGGGTTATCATTTTTAACAAATACAAACATAATTTAATCATGTCTTTATGAGGCACTATATGCATATCCACCAGGCTTTTTCCTTTTACCAAAATACAGTCATAATTCCATGTTAAAACAAGACCATTCAGGGTCTAACTTTCAATACCATAAACATCCTGGTAATATGTTATCTTTTTCTTCAAAGAACAAATTTAGTTTTTCACTTCATGGAGTTATGAGAAAAGAAGATGAGAACTAGAATAATACTTATTATAACTTTTAAATGTAACCAGGACGGCTCATTTTCAGGGCATGTGTGTGATTTTCAGTATCTCAGTAGATATAGTGAATTTCTATTGTAATATTCTGGAGGAAGAGGTTATACCTCCCTATTCCTATAGATCAAAACTTTTGATAAAATGTTAGTGCTGCCAAATGATGGCTGTGTGAACTCTGTAGGCAGTCAGATACACAGGGCTGCTTCTCAGGGGAAGCCAGGGCTGTAGATCTACAGAATAGAGATAATAGCTAGGGAGATCAGAGAGCCCCAATAACTCAGGGATTCTGGGCAGGTGGAAAAGAGAATATAAGAGACTGAGGAAAAGCAAAGTATGAGAGGCAGGCAGAGGAAAAGCCAGAACTGAGGAACACAGTTTGTAGGTACAAAATCAGCAAAATTATGCAACCAGAAGTCAAGGGGCAAAAATATATCAAGGGAGGGGAACAGCAAGATGACTGACTAGAGACAGCTTTCACCAGAGGCTCTGGTCCAGAAAGAGAAAAATTGGACTAAAATGAATCTGGAGTGTTAAAGTTGAAGAGTCACATGCAAGGAGAAGAAATCAAGGTGCTCAGCATCCCCATAGAGACAAATAAAGACGTGAAAGAGGAAGAGAGAGAGAAGGGACTGAAGAAGCCCAATAAGGAATAAAAGTGGTTGGAGGGCCCTTCCCCTCGGCTCTCTGTGCAGAGCAGTGAACATGGGATTTCTTACCCCATGGAAGAAAGCCACGAAACCCAAGTTCTCCTGCACCTAGGAATTTCCATCCCCTGGATCCCCATCTTGCCTGACAGAAAAGTGAATACACTTTGTCTCTACTACCTTGTGCCCACAACCCATCTCCCCTTCTCTTTGCTTCCTCAACAGATTGTCTCCTGCAGAGGCCAGCCTCCCAGAACTCTGGTAATTGGAGTGCTAGTCCAATGGGCCCAGGCAGTCTGGAGAGTCTGTCCCATACTCAGGCACCAGAAAGACGAAGGAACTCTGACTGGACCCACAGGGGAACCATGAATCACAGAGGCAACTTTCTCCCTGACCACAACTGGCTGGATCCTTAACTGGCCATAGGGAAAGGGAGGCAGGTCCTGCCCTCCTAACATGTTTGGCAAGGTCTCAAAGATTCCTCTCTATTGTGTAGTCCTATGAACCCAGTGTGCTCCTCGGTACTGTGAGAGGAAATTGTGGCGTGGCTGCACTAACTTTGATGAGGAGGGGTCCCTCCTAAGTGTCCCTTCTGCTAGGAGGGACCTTTTCTCTGCCCTCTGGAGTGGATCTGTTTGGGGTCTATACCTGGCAGGCCTTTCTTGGTGGTTTAGTTCGGCTCATCCCTTGCCAACTTGGAGAGAGAAAGGCCTAGCCTCAGGCGAACCTGTCCTAGGAAGGTCCAGGAAGAAGACAGCAGGCTGCGGTCCCTTCCCCCAGCTGCCCTTGAGGATCACACTATATCCAGGCAGCTGGGGCTAAGACTCCAGGCAAACTCCCCTCACCCCACACTTTTAATTTGTTTGCATGAGGGGTATTCTTGCTGCAGCAGGGAAGAAAATTGGGTGGAAGCAATTGGGTGACCTAAGGATTCCCCACCCCCAGTCATGAGGGCAGGGGAGCTGCATTAGTTTGATCTTTCACAGCAGGAGCTTCAGAAAACTCCAAGGCTCCTTTAAACTGGGTTGAGGACAGGCTGATACTAGGACAGAAGCAGATCAGCTTGCTAACTGAGAGACACCCCCAGCCAAGGAGCACCTGATAGCCTGATCCAAAGTGCTACCCCATTCAACTTGAAGAAAGCAAGACTGGCCCTCAGAGAATCTCATGCCACAGCCCTGAAAGGGAGTTTTGAAAGGCTGTTTGTGGGAAGGGCCACACATATATACTCTAACTCATTTCAGTAGTCAGAAGTGAAGGGGTGGTAAGATCCATATCCCAGGGCATCCAGAACTAATTTCAGCCCACCAGTTTTAGTTTTAGTCGCCAAAAAGGTCTCTAGGGTGTTCCCTAACTGTCCCCAATTAGATTATCTCTTAATAACTATTCAGGACAACCTAATATTTTAGCTAAAAAAGGATAATTAATATAAAAAATAAACTGAAAATATACATGGGGGGGAGGAACCAGGAGAAGAATCCTGGCAACATGAAAAAATCAGAGCAGATCAACTCTCCCAAAACACTACAAGGGAGATACAGCAGAAAATATCCACGGAGAAACTGTTGAAAAGTCAGAAACAGAATTCAGAATATGGATGTAAATAAAATGGAATTGAGGAGAAGATGGAAAAATAAATCTAAAAGGTAGTCCAAAAATTGTCTCAAGAAATTAGTGAAATTAAAGACAAAGTCACCAAGGATCTTAACATAATTAGGAAAGATATAGCAGGGCTTAAGGAATTCAAAGAGGCATTCAAGGAGCTTCAAAACATGGTAGAGAGCCTTAGTAATAGAGCAGAACATGGAGAAAAAAGATTTATAGGAATTGAAGACAAGATTTTTGAACTAAATCAAAGAGGGGGGGGGAAGAGAACAAAATCAGAATATTCCCTGAAAGAATTATGGGATTACGCCAAAAGATCAAACATTAAAATGACAGAGATTCCTGGAGGAGAAAAGGATGGTCCTAAAAGTACTGAAGCTCTATTTCAAGCATCATAGTGAAGCATTTCCCAAGCATTGTGAGAGACACAGAAATTCAGATAATAGATAAGTTTTAGAAACCCAGCACTACTCCATTCAAACAAAGCATCTCCTAGACATATTGTAATTAACTTTGCCAAAGTCAAAATGAAACAGAAAGTTCTGTAAGCTGTCAGGTGTAAGAAAAGTCTTACCTACAAAGGGAAAAATATCAGAACAACAGGATACTTTTCAGGTGAAACTTTTCAAGCCAGAAGAGGATGGTCATCAGCCTTTAACCCTCTTAAACAAAACATTTTTCAGCCCAGGATTTTGTACCCTGCTAAACTAAGTTTCATATGCAATGGAAAAATCAAATATTTTACTGACATATAAACACTGAAGAAATTTGCCACAACTAGACTAGCTCAACAGGAAGTACTCAGACCTATTCTTCATACTGATCAACATGATGGTCCATCACCAAAGTAAACATACCCAGAAATTAAAGAATAAGCCTAACTTCCACAGGGAACAAGGAATAAAACTAAGCAACAGATCTCTGCAAAACAAGATGAACAAAACTCCACCATACCTTATCAATTCTCTCAATAAATGTGAACAGCTTGAATTCTCCACTACGAATGCACAAGCTGGATGAGTAGATTAAAAAAACCCTCAAATCTAGTATTTGCTGTCTTTAAGAAACCTATCTAACCTCTAAAGATAAAACAAAACTTGAGGTAAAGGGATGAAAAACAGTATTCCAGGCAAATGGGGGTCAGAAAAAAGCAAGGGCTACAATCTTATTTGCAGATACAATTGCATTTAAACCAACAACAACAGAAAAAGGAAAGACAATGATGGACACTATGTACTAAGCAAGAGAAGTATACAACATGTTATATATGTACCCAACCTAAACATGCCTAGATACATAAAATGAACCCTAAATGATCTGAACAACATATCTTCCAACTCCTTAATACCCAGAGATTTCAACACTCCTCTGACAGAACTGGACAAATCCTCCAAGCAGGAACTAAACAAAGAAGCAACAGATTTAAACATGATCCTAGAACAAATGGGCTTAACAGACGTACATGGAACATTTCATCCTACTAAAACTGAATACACATTATTCTTATCAGCCCATTAATCATCCTCCAAAATTGATAATTGTAGGGCATGAATCAAATCTCAACAAATTTAATAGATTAGAAATCATACCGTGTATCTTCTTAGACCAGCACAGAAGAAGTTATGAAAACTATACAACCTTATGCTGAATGACAGCTGGATTAAGGATCAGATAAAGAAGGAAATCATTAGATTTCTTGAAAAAAACAATAATGGAGCCACATGGTATCAAAACCTGTGTGATACTGCAAAGGCAGTCTTAAGAAGAAAATTTATAGCATTAGAAGCCTTCATCATGAAAACACAAAGAGTGAGTCAACAACCTAATGGACCACCTCAAGCAAATGGAAAAGGAAGAACAATCTAACCATAAACCTAGCAGAAGGAAAAGTAACCAAAATCATAGCAGAATTAAATGAAATATAAAACACAAGAATCATTCAGAAGTCAGTGAAACAAAGTTGGTTCTTTGAAAAGATTAATATAATCTTACAAAAATGGATATGAATAAATGTTAATGTGTTTGAGATTTAAAAAAAAAGATTAATATAATCAATAAACCCTTGGCCAGACTAGTCAGAAACATAAAAGTAAGATCTAGTAACCTAAATCAGAAATAAAAAAGGGGAAATAAAAACAGCACAGATGAACAGCTAATAAACATATAAAAAATGCTCATCATCCCTAATCATCAGAGACATGCAAATTAAAACCACTCTGAGGTATCACCTAACCCCAGTAAGAACAGACTGCATCACAAAATTCAGAAACTACAGATGCTGGCGTGGATGTGGAGAGAAGGGATCACTTTGGCACTGCTGGTAGGATTGCAAACTAATACAATCTCTATGGAAAGAAGTATGGAGAATTCTAAAAGAACTAAAAGTCAACCTTCCATTTGATTCCACAACCCTATTACTAGGTATATACCCAGAAGAAAAAAAAAATCATTTTACCACAAGGACACTTTCACTAGAATGTTTACTTCAGCTCAATTCATAATCACTAAGATGTGCAAGTAACCCAAGTGCCCATTAACTCATGAATGGATTAACAAATTGTGGTTTATGTATACCATAGAGTACTACTCAGCCATAAGAAAAGATGGTTACTTTATGTCTTTTGTGTTTACCTGGATCCAGCTGAAATACATTCTCCTTAGTAAAGTATCTCAAGAATGAAAAACAGTATCCGATGTACTCAGAACTAACATGAAACCAATAATATAAACTACAACATACCCACAGGAAAGAAAAATTAAAGTGTATTCTACTGATGGGGAGGGGAGAGAAGAAAAGGTGGAAAGGGAGGAGGGTAGGTGATTGGTGGGTTTTCACCTTACATACACAATGTGAGGGTATTCAGCAACTCCCCAACCCTCAACCCTCTATCCCCCTACAACCTGGTTAATGGTTCAACTACAACTTGAACTTTACCTTACAAATGAAAACAACATAAACCTAAATATTTGTACCTTCATATTAATCTGAAAAAAAAAAAAAAAACTCCTCACACACACACAAAGAAGGGAGTGGACAATAGGACCATATGCAGAAGAGATCAAGTAAGATGATGGCAGAAGTTTCATTTGATTTAGGCCCTTTGAAAATTTGGCCTGAGAGAAAATAGGATTCTTAAACAGTGACAATACACATAGTAATTTTGACAAAATGCCCAAACCAAAAAACAGGAAACAAAACCCAGGTGAAGACATGACTCTTTCAGAAATCAAACATTGCTAATGGTATCACTCACCTTTAGCTTTATAGAATGAAGGAATGAGGGTAAAAAGCTGTACTCAAAAAATCAGAGTTTGGAAAATTGGTCAATGCATTAAAATGGAAGAACTCCTTTTAAGGCTATGATGAAGGAATATTCAATTTGAAAAAGTCTACCACTAAAAAGTACCAAGAAATGCTGAATAAGTATAAAAATATAATTTTATAAAGTACAGGCAATCTCAAAAGAAAATTAAGGGAAATCCTAATGGATGTGCCAAAAAAATGAAGGAGTAGGAAGCCTCATAGGTGAGTACTGAAATATTTGTTAATCTCATAACTTGGACCTTTACATTTTAACAGATTTGATCTCATAATGTGAGAAACTGAGACCCCCTACATAATGTCAGGATCCCCTCAGTACTATATTTTTAATATAAGTGCAGTTATAAACATTGAGAGAGAAAATAATGCGCCTCTCTTAGCCTGGTGTTTGAATGAAGAAGAAAAATGTTTTGCTAACATGAGTTTTGAGTTCATGTTTATTATACCAGTGGAGGTGGGCAATTCTTAACTCAGAAATTAAACTTGTCCTTTAGTCACTTTAGAGCTCACAGAGGCTAACACAAATTCTTTAATCTAGGCCTTAAAGTATTTCCACAAAAAAATCTCAGTTGAACATGAATTCATATCCAAATTTCAAAACACATATGGAAACAAATCACCATTAGCAAGTTAGCCAATGTAACACATAAATTTAGACTTCTAAGGATGTCTGACATTGGAATAACTAAACGTAAAATGTAAAATTAGTAAGTTTAAGTTATTGAAAGGACTGGAATAAAAACCATAAACACAAAACAAGATGCTTTTTTTTAAAGACCAGACTGTTTTAAAAAAAGAACAAAAATAGAACTTTACTTAAATATAGAAAATATCATCAATGAAGTAAAACTCAACAGGTACATTAAACAGCAGACTTGTCTCAGCTCAAGAGAAACTAGAACATTGATGAAAAGCCCTGAAATCACTCATAATATCACCTAGCTATGAAAATTATGAAAGTGATATTAAAAGGCATGAACGAAAGAATAAAAAGTTATATAAAAGAGTGTAAAAGGGAAGAATTATTCAAATATATAATGATGGAAAATATTTAAAAGTATGATGAATGACATAAATTCTCAGATTTAAGAGTCATAATAAATTCCAAGAAAGTTAAAATAAAAAAAGTTCAGACCTAAGCATCTCATAGTGAACTGAAACCCGTCACAAACAATCTAAAAGCAGCCAGAGGCTAAGCGCCTGTAGCTCAGTAGCTAGGACACCAGCCACATACACAGGGGCTGGCAGGATCGAACCCAGCCTGGGACTGCTAAACAATAATAATAACTACAAAAAAAAAATAGCCAAGTGCCTGTAGTCTCAGCTACTTGGGAGGCTGAGGCAAGAGAATTGCTTAAACCCAATGAGGTTGCTGTGAGCTGTGACCCTATAGCACTCTATTGAGGATGACACAGGGAGACATTGTCTCAATAAATACATAAATAAATAAATAAATAAATAGAGAAAAATGACAGGTTGTAAGTTATCAGAATTTATACTAAAGCAAAATTCTAAACAGCAATAATAAGAGCAGATACTAACAAAACATAACTGTCAACCATCCATGCTGCCGTTCAAGAACTATAATAAAATATACTTTCAAGTGAACAGAAACTGAAAGTGTTAAATATCAACAAACATTTTACAGGACCTTCTAGCAGGGGTATCCAACTTTTTTTTTCTCTGCTGTACACTGGAAGAAGAGTTGCCTTGGGCCACACTTTAAATACACAAGCACTAACAAAAACTGATTAGCAAAAAATAGGTTTGTGTGTACTTTTTGTGATACTCAACACCACAGATAAGCAAAAACAATCCTCACAAAATCAGCAAGCAGGCCATGGGGCACAGGTTGAAGAATTCAGGAAGAAGAATAAGGATTCCAGAAAGGATGCCTGAGATGTAAAAAGGAATGATGAATAAAGGAACTGGTATAAAAATAACATAAGATTTTGTGAAGTTGAAAAACTTAAAATACTCACTATAACAACTTGTAAATGTAAAGGAAGGAGTAATCAGTGAGAAAACTTGGAAGATCCTGGCATTATTAGGGAAACAGTAGGAAAACTGATTAGCTTTGAATTTTAGGTATGCATGTTAAAAATTTCAAAGACAAAAATCCAGCTGTATGGGCCATTTACAAGAGATACACCAAGAACACAAATAAAAGATGAAAAAAAGATCTACCATGCCAATGCTAACTAAAGGAAAGCTAGTATATTAAAAATGTGAAGTATCTCCTGAAATTCTGCTTATGTTTATGGGCCATAAAAATCATATGAAGAGAGTTAAATTATGTGGCTTGTCATATGAAAAGTAGAAAGAGCAATTCAATACTTGGGTCTTAGTACTAAAACAGAAAATTCATTTCACTTACATTCTTTGATTTTTTCATGTCTTTACTTGGTGTTGATTCATTACCTCCCAGGATTTCTGAAGAACTGCTCTTTGCACCATCATGCATGTTTCCTATAATTGGATCATTTAGAAATATTGGTTCTAACTAATGAGAAAAAGACAAGACCTATGCTTTCAGTGAAACTACCAACCCTGAGTTGTGAAGAAATATGAAAAGGTTTCACCACTGGAGTAGTGGACAATGTCTACACTGCACATTTATTTAAAAAATTAAGGTAAAAATCACAGAAGGACCTGACCAGTCCTGCAAATGTTTAGATGACCAGTATGCACATATAGCTAGAAAGGTGCTTGTAAATGTTAGAGAAGACTTCTGTAAAATATATTTTTTTACTACCTATTTCTAATTAAACTCTTTGTACTCAAATGGACATGTTATTTTTTGGAGCTTCAAGTTAATCCACATGTTATATAGTTGATATTATCTTTAAACTATATTTATGAAGCATATACATGCTTTTACTTTTACATAATTGATTATTCAAAGCCTATATTTATTTAATTTCTTTTTAAAACTTTTCAGGTGTATTCAACCTCTGGCCCATGGGCCACATGCAGATTATTTAAGGCCTATTTTGCTTATCTGTGGCATTGGATTTCACAAAAAGTATGCACGGACCTTTTTTGTGCTCATCAGCTCTCATTAGTGTTTGTGTATTTAATGTGTGGCCCAAGACAACTCTTCTTCCAATGTGCAACAGAGAAAAAACAAAGTTGGATAGCCCTTTAAATTTAGGCTATATACTTAGAGGTATATTCAAAATTTAAATACTTAACACATTCCTTAACATTTTGCCTAAAACATCCAAAATTAATCTATTAGAAGGAAAAAAAAAAGATTAAGAAAACTATTCCTTCTTCAGCTTAAGTTTAGATCAGATATCCAGTATTATGGACAATTTCTTTTAATTTCAGGTTAATATGCGGGTACATACAGTAGACTACATTTGTGCTTATAAGGTAAAGTCCAGTCCAAGTTGTAGTTGAGTCCTTCACCCATAAACAGTTATTTTTAACGGAAATACAGTGAATAGCATACTATAGTGTGATGGTGTGGAAACATACTGTGGGAGTTGTACAGCAAAAACAGATGATTTGTATCTAGAAAATGTAGTTCTCATGGGCAATCATAGTACCTCTATTCCAAGGCACCTATTCTCTCACACTAACAGCTATGCTTGGGAAAAGATTTTTCTTTAATGTCTGTGGCAAGATCACAGATGGCAATCTGGGCTCTGAGGGAGATCACTGGATGGCTACTGTGTCTCTAGGCCAGTCCAGTTATCCTAACTTAGGCAATGGGATAGGGCATCGCTCAGCAGAGATATAAACTAGGATCTGGGGCAAAAACCTAAGTTAATATTGGTTGAGTATGTGAAAAAAAGTTGTAAAACAATTGTCCTAAATCCTTTAACACTGATACATGAGTAACTGTGAGTAATGTGAATATGGTTTATCTTATAAGGGTACAAGTGAATCTTTCTAAAAGCAGAGTATGAATATCTTAACTCAATAACTAAGAAAATGACACAAAGGTTATGTTAACCAGTTTGATGAGAGTATTTCAAAATGTATGTGAAAACAGCACACTGTACCCCATGATTGCATTAATGTACACAGTTATGCTATAAGAAATAATAAAGGAAATTTGAATGGGAAAAAAGAGACGCTGTGATTATAAATAAGAACAAATAAGCCTGTGTCACAGAGTTCACAGCTTGTTATGAGGTCATGTCACAATAAAAAGTATAAGACAGGATATATCTGTATAAACTTAAAATTGCCCAATTACTGCACATACCTGCCAGGTATATGTATGTTATTTATCTGGCCTTCTAAAAAAATATGCTTTTGAAGTCAAATGTGCTCATACCTTTTGGATTTTCATTGTAGTCACGAATGGGCCGATCCAAGGGGATGGCTTTTTCTTCCTATAAACGATAAAAAAGCAATATAACAAAATATATTTGTGCTGTGCCAGAAAACTTGGTCTTGATTTTTAAGCAGAGTTCCAGAGTCTGCCTCTAGTTAATGACATAAACATGTGACAATTACTTCATTTTACTGGGCTCCTACAAAATAAGGGGCCTTACATGCTGACTGATTGCAAATGTCTTCCTAGCTTAAAAATTGTGTGATAAAAAAAAAATCCATGATTCAAGAATTCTCCTCAAAGAAGATTCAGGATCACTAATTGGTTTATGACAAACTACAACATTTTATGGTGTTTAATAAGTTCTATGTTAAAGAATTTGTAGGGCCACCCTAATTTGAACTCATAAGCGCTCCCTATAAAATAGTAACTGCTAAAACATTGTTCTCAGTGAGAGAAAGGAATCTTAGAAAAGGAGGAACTAAAGAAGAGAGCTCTATGGAATAATACCATTTTGAACATTACAAATACAAGTACACAAAACAATACAGGTTTTAAAAGTACATATTCAAATAAAAGGACAAATGTTTCAGTGGTTGTCTAAGTTAGGGAAAAGAGGAATGGGAATGAGGCTAAAAGGAAATAAATTTAAATAAGAGGGAAGTCTTAAAGAGACCAATAAGAATGTTTCATTAACTAGAAGGTATGAGTAACTCAGTATTCTATATGACAGGTACAGAAAATGAAAATAATCAACATAAAATCATTCAGTTTGTGTTTTGGAACTCTAAAACTCTAAAGTTAATCCAGAGTAGGGTTAGAAAATTAATAACTTCAAACTTATCAACTATCTCCTAGCAGGGTCACTCTCAGGCAAAACTGTCAAATTGAAGAGATTATTTTTTGGCATCCTTAACCCCATTTTCAGGATGATTTTTGCTTCCTCACTGACAGCTTCTTCTATTTCTCCTAATAAACACTTTCACCTAGACTGCATATTTGAGGACCTGATCACATCAGAAACTGCTTTCAGTTATCAATGCACATGTAAATACGTGCAGGTGTGTGTACACATATGCATCCCATTTTCTGTCACCCATACCAGGGCTTCTAACTTTGCATTTTTAACATTTCAAGGACTGGGTGCTGAACTTTAGTAATTTTCCAACAATATATTATCCTGTCTCATACATAGGCTTCCACTTACGGAAAACAGAATGCTACCAAGCAATGTAGAAAGTATTCTAAAAACAAACTTTGCCTAACTCATAAATTAGCCAAAGCCTTTCTCTATAGTACATGAGCAAAGTTACTCATAGAAGTACTTCTGCTTCTGAAGAAAGTTAGAATCCAACCTCTACAGGAACTAGGAGACCCGTATTCTCTTAGGCAGGATCTCAGGATTTAACCACCTATCATCATACCTTTTCAATGCTTTTAGCTGAGTCACTGGTTATTTCTGTCTCTTCAGTTTCACTGTGGGCGCCTTCAGGAACAATTTTATCACCTTCTGCAGTTTCCTTCTCACCTTCCAGATTTTCAGCTTCAATTTTCTCAGGCACACTTTCTGGTTTTGTTTCTTCTATTTCTGACACTTTGTGATCCTGTGGCAAAATTGAGAGAAGAGTAAGATTTCCTTTTGTAAAAACAGAGATTTGATATTGCTCTTATAAATAATTTATACCATCTCAAAGAATGCATAGAATATTAACTTAAATGTTGAAGTCCAACAAATAAAATACTGTATAATCCATGCTGAATATTATGTCACTATATTACTATATTATGCTTGTTGTTTTATTTCAACTACTAAAATTACCAAAATTCTTTTTTTTTTTTTTTTGAGACAGAGCCTCAAGCTGTCCCCCTGGGTAGAGTGCCGTGGCATCACAGCTCACAGCAACCTCCAACTCCTGGGCTCAAGCGAGTCTCCTGCCTCTGCCTCCCAAGTAGCTGGGACCACAGGCGCCCACCACAACGCCTGGCCATTTTTTGGTTGCAGCCGTCATTGTTGTTTGGCGGGTCCGGGCTGGGGATTCGAACCCGCCACCCTAGGTGTATGTGGCTGGCGCCCCAGCCGGTTGAGCTATAGGCGCCGAGCCAAATTACCAAAATTCTATGAGCATCTATGACAAGCTTAAAATTAAAAAGAATTAAATATGCTTTTCTGGCTGTCTCAAAGAGTGCTTTTAAAATTGAGAAATATTAAAAAGATTTTTGTTTTAGCTATATGTTCATTTTCCAAAATGTAGCTATTTAGAATCACTTTAAAGATATTATTCACTGATAGTCAAGAGAGAGGTTATAAGTATAAGATAAAGGGACATAGATAGTTTAAGTGGTTTTCTCTCAGTTATTAAAGAGTAGAGGGAAAACTAACCAGAGGCAGAACTTGTTCTATCTGGCTACTAGCCAGCTAATCCAAATTATAAAATAGCCTGTCTGTGGATTTGATAGACTGATAGTAAATTATGAAATGCTCACGTACGAAATATAAACAGAAAATACTAGTTTTAGTCTTTATTCTACCTCAGATTGTTTTTAGTTATTTTGGATGAAATATGCTTAATAATTACCATTAAGAGATTAGGTTCCTTAATGGATTTTCCCCCTATGCTTTTTATTCACACATTTCACTAAAGTTGTAACAGCCTCTAAAATAAGTGAGGTAGTCATCAGTGCCATTTACTCCCTTGAATAGTGTTCATACAAAGCTCACTTTGGCGATATTTACTTCAGATCATATATACCCTTTATATCCCCTTCAATCCTGTAATAGTTTCTGGTGGTCAGCTTCCTATTGTCTGTTTGGCTAAAGATAAAGCCTGATAACCAACAGAATCTTTAGCAGGTGTCTGGAAAACAATGCCTCTACTAATTAGCTTACCTTCCTTTTGATAAAAATACAAAATGGCAGAGTTCAGACTAAGGAAAAGATGTATTTATATTGCACACCTTAGTAATAAATACAAGTGGCATCCTCAGGCCAGCAGCACTAAGGATGTGACATAACAGCATTCCCACCAAAGGCAGGCAAATCCTACTAAGTAAGGCCTTGAGATTTAAAAACATTTCAGAAGCTACTCTGGGAGAATTTGACTTACGTTAATCCAGGGTCATGTATCAAAGGATGACTGGTTATGGGCAGGGTTAGCCAGAGGCAGCTATAATTATCAACTAACTTCTGAAGCTTTCTTTGTTTCTGTATGATTTCTCCTCTAAGTGACTTATGTATTGTACATTATGCCTAGTCAGATACACATATGAGCAGCTAAACTTATCAGGAGACAACTTTACTTTGAAAGGGAATGGGAAGCAAGATTACTAGATTTAAGACTTATGACACATAAATAGTTGTATTCATAAATATACAAAAATGAAAGGCTAACTAGAAAGAATAGCGGTCCCGAGACAGAGAATTTCATAATTTGTCTCACAGAGGGAGGGTCAGTGAGCTATGTTCCCATAGTCCTTAATTACTTGGAGAGCTTGGCTAAAATCACTGGGTCAACTCCAGTCAGTTTTGTTAACTAAGGTATTAATATAACCATAGGATAATATCATGATATTATAAAAAGAACCTTGGAGTTTTAGATTATTTTAAAAATAAGTGAAACACTCATCTCTTATAATAAACTACAATTTTTCTCATTAACTGTAAGAAAATCTGTAACGATGAAGAACTGTTAGAACTGTATCATTTTCTAAATGTGAGAAAGGTATTAGAAAATGATGTTTTCACTAGAAATTGCATCATCAGTTATAGCACTTTGCACTTACTAAACACATATAAAATTATTCTATACACATCTGGACAACTACTTTAAATCACAGAAAGCACTTACCTTCAAACTGAAACAATTTGGAAGAGATTGGCAGAATAGTGGCATTTTATGAAAAGAAAGGGTAAAGTTTAAGTACATTCTTGGCACTAGAATCACGTAAGATGCAAAGAGGTAGTCTTGTGTTAGGAATATGGTAAAAAAAAAAAAAAAGTGAATGGGCCTGACCTCTCACAAAAAGACCCTTTTGTATTGGTCAGACAAGACACAGTAAGCTTCAGTCTTTGGCTGGCACAACACTTTTTATATTTAAGGGAAAGATCCAGAAAGAAAAGTTTTCTCCTAAGGTTTGAGTTTGGTTAACAATACAATTACATTGCATGCTTTAAGGACTAGAGATTGCTAGGGTGGAGAAAGGAAAAAGACTCAAGGGGGCTGAAGGGAAGCTTCGGTGGGGAGCTGATGTGCTTTTCTTGATTTAGATGCTGATCAGTTTGTAATGGGTGTGTTCAGTTTGTGAAAAATACATTGAGCTATACAAGTATAAGAAAGGTACTTTTCTCTGCATGTATAACACCTTTTTAAAGTAAAAAAAAAGAACAAACAATAAAGCATCGTTTTGTGCTATAATTCTGAATTTATGACATGCCTCAATGTCATATATGGTAACCTAACTTCATGAGTGCCATCAGCCTTTCATTACATTTTAAATGTTAAGGGGCATTATTGACCCATGTATGGTATGTAACAGGAGAGTTTCACTTCTTCTCATACTTACAGGTTATTATTGTAATCTACTTTATTTTCCATAAACCAATTTGTTTTTGGCTATTGTATTTAAACATGTGTTAGATTCATAGGACTAAACTCATGTATACCAGCTGGTGACTTGGTGATTCATGAGTATAGCTTTGCACCTGCCTTGGTGTGATCAGAAAGGATAATTAGAATGATACGGGTTGGATACAGCAAATGATACATTTGCTGAGTGCCTGTAACATTTTTCACATGTTGTAAAAGACCCACTCTTTTATTAAAAGAAGGAAATAAGACTTAGCAAGATCAAAAACAAAACAATACAACAACAAAAACTTTTCCAGGTGTCCTCACAGCTAATCAGTGGAGAGCTGGATTTGAATTTAGGTCTACTGGACTCCAAAGCCCATGCTCATTTGCAAACCTGCCCAAATAATTTGAAAATCATAATGGCTATCCTCATAATTGTTTTTTTTTTCCCTCGCTGACTTTTTTTTTTTTTTTTTTGCAGTTTTTTGGCCGGGGCTGGGTTTGAACTCACCACCTCTGGTATATGGGGCCAGTGCTCCATTCCTTTGAGCCACAGGCACTGCCCTCCCTCACTGACTTTTAAAGCATTGCAGATTCTTATTTTGGTCCTCAAGTTCACATCAATAACATCCTATTCTTATTTTTACATTAACTGCAAATAAAAATTTAGGACTTTTTCCCAGAGTATCAAAGTCTCTGGAATGTCTATCCCCCTTCCTACACTGAGAATTATGCCAATGGTACCCAATATCTGACATGTAATTTTCAAAGTTTAGTTCTGATTCTATTCCTCTGCAAAACAAACATTTCTTTCCTAGTAGTGTGGGTTCTGCCCCTAGCCCTCTACTAGGTCATATCCCAGAGGCCCTCTCTGCAGCTGCTACCACTCCTTCCTCCCTGAAACCCCTTTCTTGGCTTGGGCAGCACCTCTCTTAGTGTTTCCACCTACCTTCTTTCCAAACTTCAATTTCTCAACCTTACCTACTAGTGTTTCCCAGAATGCTCTCTTCAGGTCTCATCTCTCTTCATGTTAGCAATGTTTCCTTTGGTTCAAATCCAGTTTTAATAAGCTTAAAATACTCAGCAATCTCCCCTGACCCCCTGACCCATACATGTATCTGCCTACTGAATATCTCCTGCAGATAATTTAAAATCAACAAATGCACAACTGTCTCCCAAATTCTCAATCTTGCTGATTAGCATTAATTCTCCCTCAGTTCTCTAGGCCAGAAAAGAGGAAAGCTTGCCCTTTCTCCTCCCTCCCAGCTATGTATCTTTACTAAGTCTTCCGATCCTATTACCAAATCTCTCTCAATACCACACATCCCCACTGTCCTAATCCAGGGGCTCTCTTCAATCCTTGCCTGACCTATTATAACTGACTCCTAATTGGTATTTCTGACTCTGGTCTTGTCCCCTTCCAATCCACCCTCTGTATTACTGCTAGAATAATCTTACAAAAACCCAAGTGCAGACAACTGACTCTTTTGGTCTGACATCTTTTACAAACACATAAAGGCCCTCTGCCTCTCTGTGTAGGACCACCAAAGCATACTCTAGGCTGTAGTTAGTCACATCAAAATGCCCTCATGACTCCCATCAACCTGGAAAGCCCCCTTCCCCTCAACCCCTTTGACTGGTTACATTTTACTTCATGTGACTCAGCTCAATGTTCACTACTCACTCCTTGAAAGCCCTTTTTTTCCTAAAATTTCCCTGTAGGAGATAAAGTACCCTACTGTATGAGGACATTTTCTGCTCAGCCTATGGAAATAGCCTAAGAGTTCCTGGAGATCAGGGGCTATATTTTACTTTCTGCATACCCAAAACACAAAACCATTTTCTTCTCATTAATTAAGGGATTTAGTGGAGGAAAGCCATACAAATGTATGGGCAGCCCTGACTCAAAGCATAGGGGTATCAAGAAACAAAAGGGAATTATTAAGAAATAACAGAGCCACAGGGACTGCTTTCAATTCTTTCAGAAATCTATGCCTCAAGTTCCTGACAGGTAAGGTGGCCATAGCAGGTTGACGCTAAGCTGCCCTTACTTCTTGAGATTTATCTGACTTGGAAAAGCTTCTGTCCTTCTTTGGTATTTGGTATGTAAATGTTGAATAAAAATATGTGCCAAATTATGGTATGTGTCAGGTGCTGGGCATACAATTATCACACTGAATTTTCCCAATGTAAAGAATAAAGGAAAAATTCCAGCACCTTCCTCCATTTTCACATTTTATTTTTGATACATACATGTATAGCAAGTCTATCTCTATAGTGAAATAACAAAAGACAGTTCAATGGCACTCACCTTAAGTGCTGCTCGTCAGTAGCAGCAGATGCTTCTGTGGTAGGTACTCCTTTGCAGCTTACCTTAAAGTCTTTTTCTGGCAGAGTCCTCATTAGGAAATTATAACTCAATGGATTCTATATATACAACTCATACTTCCTTCAGAAATGATCAGTGATAAACTACAATAAAAGCTTGACCATACAGCAGAATAAGGAAAGAACTGGCTATTTTAATCTATGTAACTAGGTGTTAATTCTGAAGGGACAATGTGGTCTCATTCCTAAACTTCCCTTTCTTTCTCTTCTAAGATATATAAGATTTACAAATATGTAAATCACTTCTGTTCATGAAAGCCTGCCAAGACCTGCTTCTTCTGTGTCCACCCTACCACTAACTGGCCATAAATGCCTTTCTATAAACTAATGCAGTGGTTCTCAACCTTCTCAATGCCACAATGTATTTTCATTGTTAAAAAGAGGTCGCAACCCACAGGTTGAGAACTGCTGTTCTAGAGAGTACCAGACCCACGCAACATACGTGACTAATTGTTCACTGAATAGTAGACACAGAAAGTATGCTTAGTTTAGGATAACTGCTTACTTTAGTGTATCTGCTAGAAGCTCTGGGTGACTAGACTCAAGATTTTTTATTGAGGAGAAAGGATGGTAGAAATACCAGGTCCAACAAAAACTCTACTTGGTAATAAACAGCTGCTATTCCTATAGAATTACTTAGGTTACCCATTCTCATTCTGTACTTTTCCAGATGAAGAAATTGAGGCCTGCAAAGGTTAAGAAGTTGGCCTAAGGTCAGATAGCTCAAAAATATAAATCTAGGTGTAGAGCCCCGGTTTCAGAGTGACTAGGCCAGTGCTATGTGCTTACATGAACTGCTTCTTAAGAGAACAAAAAAAAATTTGGCCAGGAAAATATGAAGAAATTATATATAAATGTCATCTAGACCAATTCAAATACTGAAATGGGTACATTTTAGGACATAGTTTCAGTATTGCTGGCTGATTATCTCGTCAGTGGAAGTTGAATATCCACACCTTTTATGCTAATAAAGGTTTAAGAGTTTATGAGTTTCTCATCTCCTTGAAGGCTTTTTATATTAACTGTCATTTATCTTATTTAATCATTTTAAGTCTTTTTAATAACATGTTTGGCACATATACTTTATCATAATATTAATTCTATTCTACTAACACATAATGAACATGATAGAATTTGGTAAAGCACTGCAATGTCAAATCAGTATACTTAGTTAGGAGAAGGCACCAGAGAACCTTGCAGCTGAGAAAAAAATTACAATTGCTCCTAGGAAATTAGTCTCTTGACTAATGATTCTGGTCAATTCCCTTACATTATTTCTCACTCAGAGAATCAAAGGTGCAAAGAATTCAACTACACAAATTCAAAGGAAGTTTACCATCAAAATCCTCCTTGATAAAAGTTAAGTATAAGAAATTCCTCGTGTCCAAAATACATGAAAGCAACTGGGAAAGGAAATCAATTGAAAAGAGAACTTTGAATAAGCCACAATCAAAATGAACTAGCTGCATTATATCCACTAAAAATTTTAAGGAACTACTGAAATTACTCAAGTAGAAATCTAATCTCTTTAAAATTCAAAACCTAATATTAGATAGTGTAACTTTTCACAAATAATTACTAACTGTATACATATAATCTTTATTTTACTTGAAACATTCTCACAAACAACAGACAAACTGAGAATTACAGAATAGTCAATGAAGAATACACTGAGGGCACATCACAGATACTGGGAATAAAGGTTCTGATAGTACAGTTAAAGCTTAGAAATTATAGGAGTTTAGAAATACAGAACTACAGAAGACAAGAGAAATTAAAGCTATCACAACTTTTCAAGAAGAACAAAATTGGATAGAAAATTAAATTAATTTTAAAGTGTAATTTTTCTTCCATACAAAATTTCTTATATGCAAATAACAAAAATGACAGAGTAAGTCAGACTACCAAAATGAAAAGAATCAAAGAGTTAGAAGGCACTATAGTTATCATGTCATCCACTCCATTTTAGAGGAAGCTGAGGCCCACTGACTGGCTTTGTCTAGATGATAAATATCTAAAGTTCTACATATACATTTGAGTTAATCTCCATTTCATTAGATATAATGCCAAGATATCTGCCAAGATAGTAACCAAAAAAGATCATATTATTAAGATGTAAGTTTTGAATATGGGTGTCACTTTGTTGATTTTTGCAACAAGTATACGTAAAAGGTAAAAAGACAATACTTAAAAAAGGGCAATGCCTCAACTTAGCATTAGAATATCATCAATTCTTGTAAAATTATTACATGTAGTAAGTAAACTATAATCATAGATTGAAAAAATGTGCTAACATATCCATAAGAAATTGTTATAGCACTTAAGGATCTGTACCATTTTTAAATAGACCAATATACATCTACAAACAAAATACTTTTATAGTACATGCCTATTTCATAATGCTATCTTTAATGAGAAATATGTGTTAATTATCTGACATGGCCTTTTAATATTTTCTAGTTAGAGATTTACAATTTGAGGGAGAAATACACCAAAGTATTAATTTAAGAGGAGGCAAAATTTATCGGTGCTTACTATTGTCTTTGACCCTTTAACACAACTGGTATCAGTTTTTCTTTTTAACCACATATAAAATAACCATGACATAAAATTAATTTAATAAAATGTAAATGAGTATATGTCATATACAAGGCATTCAAATTGCTTAGCTGGGCATAAGGTCAAATTTAAAGTTTGTTACTTCAATTCCAAATAATGTGGTAACACATTATTCCAGAATCTTTTGGAACCTGATGGCCCATTTTCTGAATGCTGTTTTGACTGTACAGGCACTTTGAGCCTCCACTCTTTCCCCTTTCCCTGTGTGTCAGTAATTGACTTCTTTTGATATGTTCTATGTTTGTCATATTTCACAGATCCTTTTATTTTGCTCACTTTTTTGGACCCCCCTTCTTCACCCTGCCTTTCATTCTCTTCTTCACATATCTCCTGATACTCCCTTTCTTCTTCCTCATTATACACCTCTTCTTCCTTTTCTTCTCCATTCTTCCTATTTCCTCCCCTTTTCCTTTCCTCCTCCTCTCCTTCTTCCTCTACCTCTCGTTCCCTCTCTTCCTCCTCCTCCCCTTCTGCTTCCTCTCCTCCTCTCTCCCCTTCCTCTTCTCTGTCTCCTTCTTCCTCTTCTCCCTCCTCTTCTTCTTCTCCTTCCTGCCCTTCTCCCTCCCCTTCCTCTTCTCCTTCCTCCCCTTCTCCCTCCCCTTCCTCTTCCTGCCCTTCTCTCTCCCCTTCCTCTTCCTGCCCTTCTCCCTCCCCTTCCTCTTCTCCCTCCCCTTCTTCTTCTCCTTCCTGCCCTTCTCCCTCCCTTTCTTCTTCTCCTTCCTGCCCTTCTCCCTCCCCTTCCTCTTCTCCTTCCTCCCCTTCTTCTTCCTCCCCTTCCTCCTTTTCTCCCTCTCTTTCCTCCCCTTCTTCTTCTTCTCCTTCCTCCCCTCCTTTTACCTTTCTCCCCTCTCCCTCTTCTTCTCCTTCCTCCTTTTCATCTCCCAATTCTTCTTCCTCTTCTCTCCCTTCATTCTCCTTCTCCTCCCCTTTCTCTTCTCTGTCACCCTCTTCTTCCCCTTCGCCTTTCCCTTTTCCCTTTTTCTCCTCTCCTTCCTCTTCCTCTTCTTCCTCCTCTCCTTCTCTTTCATCCATCTCTTGGTTTCTTCCTTCCTCCATCTCGTTTTTTTCCTGTTCTTCCTCATCCCTCTTCTCCGATTCCTCTTCTTTTAGGCCCTTCTCTCCCTTTCCCAGGTTCTCCATTTCTTCTCCTCCCTTGTCCCTTTGCTGCTGCTCCATTCCTAAACTGTGCCCCTCACAGATCCTGTCCCCTCCACCTTCAGGCCAATCCTTTGCCTCTGCCCCTGACTTTCCCTCACTTTCACTCACCTCTGCTTTGTCTGAAAGGTCATCTGACAGGTTCTCTGTTTCTTCTTCCTTTCTTCCTCCATGCACCTCCACATTTTCCTCTGGTGTCTCTAACTCTGCCTTTTCTATTTCACTTCCTTCTGAATCCTCTGCTCCTTCCTGCTCCTCTGGGATCCCTGACAAGTGGTCACACTTAAAATCATATTTTGTCATGAATTTGGATATCTTGGGTTCAGTTTCTTCCCTACTTTCTTGTTCAGTAAATTTTCTGCAATATCGCATGCTTTGGTCAGTTTGCACATCATCATCCTCTTTCTCTCCACTACTACTTTCTATTGACTCAGACTGCTCGAATCCATCAGCTACACCCTGCTGACTCTCGATTTCACCTTCCATGTAACTGTCTGGCTCTTCTGATTCTCTTTCACTGTCAAAAACCTCTTCTTCCTTGCCACTTCCTTTTCTAACAAAATCTTTATTTTCTTCGTCCTCAGTATTCACATCTCTATTTGGCACGTTGTCAAAGAATAAACTAGTATTTTCTGTATTCTCTTCCCTTTTTCTTATATCCTCCAGACCTGCTATTTTCACCAGCTTAGTTTCCTTCTCAGAGACACTTTTTTCTGCTTCTGAATCCTCCTGACTGCATCCTCCATCACTTTCCTTTTCTAGTTCCTGAACATCAAGTTGATCCACATCACTTTTATTATCATGTCTAAATACCTCTTTTTGAAAACCCTCTCCATCGGTGTCAGTCTGAGGCCCCACCTGGCCTGAGTCATTACCTACTTCCTCATCTGAAAATTCTTCCATGGTTGCAGCTGCTTGCAACATGTATATCCCTTTAGCCAAATGCTGTTTATATATTATCTCTTCTTTCATTTCTGACTTCTCTTCATATTCATTACTAGCACCAGTTTCAGTATGAGCTGTATGCTGCATCAGTTTCTCAACTGTTTCTTGTTTCTGTAAATTTTTTGAAGCAATCATCATATTACTATTAGTTAACAAAGGGAACTTATCTACTATAAATTGCTGCCAAGATTTTACAAAGTTGCACTAGAAGAATTTAAATGTCCAGTTTTATCAGACATTTTGCTGAGATGTTGTTTTCTTTAGGAATAATTTATGCCACTCTCTAGGTCTATGATACATCTAATTTGATTTAGTAATATGTAACTGCATTTGCTTAACTTTCAAGTCTTCCTACCTGCCTTAATTTTGCCATTAATCCTAATACCAAATATTTATTCTCTGCCCCTTTTCCCAATATAAAGGAATCCTTAAATAAAACTCATTTCCAAATAGAGTTTGCAAGATGGTGTTAAAAAATGTACATTTCTTTTACACCAGTGCAACTCAGTATGATTTTTCCACCTTATACCATTTTTCATTTTAAAATTTTGATTTGAGAATTTACAAATTAACGAAAATAAAAATGTAAAATAATTTTAAAAATTAATACCTATTCTAGAAGAATGGAAATAAAAACTGCACATGAAATCTTTTTATCTACAAACTAAATAATGAAATATATTTTTCATTTCTAAAGAAAATCTTTATATGGGTTTTCAAATTTTTCACCCTTTTCCTTCTTTATTAAATTCTTTAATTGTAATAATTTGTGTACACAAAAAAATACCAAGGGTAAAAAAGAAGACTTCTATAAAAACTATGAAATCAAACACCAAAATCTGATAATACAGTAACAATATAATATTAATTTCCTTCTGTACAACACAGGGAGAAACAAATGGTTAACCTAAATTCTACAAGCTAATGGATTCAAATATTTGATGAATTTGGGTATCTGGATAGTAAAACCTCACTAAATCAAATTTTATAAAATTTTAAAAAATGTTCATTTCTTGCCAAATAAATTATTAAATCAAGACTAGTCAAAAATTAACAAGCAAATACACAGAAATAGTATAATAAATATTTTTTATTCACTAAAGTAGGCTTGGTAGGTCTGAAACTTCAGAGAACTATATAAAGCATAAAATACACATCAGCTTAAAAGGAAGTACTTTCCTTTTCTATTTTTTCTAGGTGTTGTTCTTTATGAAGTCATGATTCTTTCAAGAGCCCTAAGAGATACAGACCCAGTTGCCAGAACTGATTTCTAAGTGTGCATGCCTTTCTTTCCCTAGCACAATAAAGCAACTGAGAAGAGAAAGGAAAAAACACAGGAAAGATGCCTGCTTAGAAGTATAGGTAGTCAACAAAATAGTCAACATTCCACACTGTGTGGAAGAACAGCTCTCTTATATTCAAAGGAATGTTGTTATTCACCAGACCTCTCAATAATGTAGATAGAACTAAAGAGGACTGGTTCTAAATTTTATAATTTAGCAAGATTTTATGTTTCAATGGCTTCAATTTTAAGGACTTTTAGTGAAAGTGAAGCAAAGGCACTAGAAATAGAAATTAAATGTTTTTTAATTGTCATCTTCCTTCACTTTACAGTTCTCTAATTTATTTTAGTAATCCCCAAGCTCCTCAACCTTTCATCCCAACCATCCTTAAAGCCAGGAAAATTCAGGATATGCCTTTATTTCTCCAGAGTTGTAAAAACCATAACTACAAACAAAATTTCATACTCTTGCTATTCATTATTCATTAAAAGTTTCTTTTTTTAACCTATGAATGGTCTTTGGCTAATTTCTAAACATTTAATTTCAGTTTTATGCTATCAATTACTTGATAAATTGAAGTCCAATCCAAAAATGCAAAATTATCAAATATTTTCAATAAAAATCACAAAATTTTAGAGCTAGAAATGATATTATCATCTAGTAATATCAGCGCAGTATCTCACTCAAAATCATACTCAACCAAAATCAAAGAGCCAGTCTATTAATAAACACTAGCCCCATCCTGGACATCAGAACTATAATCATAATCTACTGCTTGACAGATAGAAATGTATGCCTATTGTAACTTAAATTAGTGATGCTAGGGAGAAAATTTCATCAACAAAACTCGTTGCATCATAGAATATCATACCAACAGAACACTCAAAAATCAAAGTTATTTACATTGCATTCCTCTGTCTTCTAAATTCCAAAGTACATAGTGCTTACCTTTCTTGTGTTCTTTCCAGAAACCTTCTTTCCAAAATTAACTTAAACAGTTCTTACCCACCATAATGAAATCAAACGTTTATATTGTACCTTTTGTCTTTGAACTGGTGTTAAGTAAAATGACTTTTCATTGGAATTCTGGTTCATTATATGTGTCTGAAATAAAAAATGTAAGTTATGAAAAGAGTGAAGACTATATATATATTACTATATGATTACATATGTATACATTCTTTATAGATTATTTATACATTCTTAATATATATAAATAAAATGAATGCACAATAGTTCAGATAATAATACAATCTATTTTTATTTGCCACACTAATGATGAAAGGATTGAAATAAATTTTATTGTATTTGAGTTATATCTCAATAAAGTTAGCTGGCTCGGCGCCTGTGGCTCAAGCGGCTAAGGCGCCAGCCACATACACCTAAGGTGGCGGGTTCAAATCCCCAGCCCGGGCCCGCCAAACAATGATGGCTGCAACCAAAAAATGGCCAGGCGTTGTGGCGGGCGCCTGTAGTCCCAGCTACTTGGGAGGCTGAGACAGGAGACTCGCTTGAGCCCAGGAGTTGGAGGTTGCTGTGAGCGTGATGCCACGGCACTCTACCCAGGAGGATAGCTTGAGGCTCCGTCTCAAAAAAAAAAAAAAAAAAATTAAAATTTAAAATTTAAAACAAATAAAGTTAGCTAAGAAATAATAGATAAAATGAAACGAGATCAAGCAAGCAGGTTTTTATGTATAGAAGTGTATAGGAAGTAATAAAGAAACACAAACTAAAATTTAAACTCATATCTTGATAAACAGATAGGAAATCATTACCATATTTAAGACGTCAGTAGTTTCTCCAAGGCTTTCTGAATCCTCTGTGGAAGAATTTTCTCCCTCTTTCTCTTTGGTTATTTTACCTTTGAAATAATCTGAATGATTAAAAGGGGAAAAGGAAATTCAGATTTCAACAGCAAAGTGAAAGGCAACTGGACAAAAAGAATTATTCTATAATATAAAGTGCAGGTATAATTTTACTAAAAGTCCTCTAATCTAATATCAGAGGAATTGAACAGAATTCATTCAGACTGATAACAGGCTTTAAAATCTCTTTTTGAAAGTCTAAAAACTTTGATAACAGTTACTTATTACACAGTAGGTATTAAGCACTGTGATAGCTAGTCCCAAGAAGGGCCCCAATTACCAGCATCCTCCCCCTTGCACATTATACCAGGTTGGTCTATATGTGTATAACCAATAAAGTAACCAGATGTTATTGTAATGGCATTGTAGCTACTGTCTACTGTCATTTTCTCTCTCTCTCTTCTGCCTTCTCTTTCTCTGTCATCACTTGTTCTAGGGGAATCCATGTTGAAAGCATATCTAATGGAGAAGCTCATGTAGTGAGGCCACCTACCAATGGCAATGTTAATGAGTTTGGAAAGAGATCCCTCAGCTCCAGTAAAGCTTTTAGATAACTGTAGCCCCATCTGACAGTCTGCAATCCCATGAAAGACTCTGAGACAGAACCACCCAGCTAAGGTATTCCTGGATCCTTGACCCTCAGAAATTATATGAAATAACGAATGTTTGTTGTATTAACCTGCTAATTTTTAGGGTCATTTTTTAATATAGCAGCAAATAACTAGTATAAGCACCTAGAACCTTTCACAGAAAAACTACAAGGTTATTATATCATAAAGCAAATAATTAAAAGCCATAATCTCTATTTGACCTTATATTTTTCTCCATTTCTCACTATGCCTTCATTGATCACCTGTACATTTATTTGAAGGTAACCACTTAATAAAATCTTTAGTAAAAAATGTCAGTATACACTGATCTCTCCCTTTAAAATCCACATAATTAGTGAGTAATCATTTTATGTTTCTTTTCATGTGAGGTGATATACAGAACATCAACTTAATTGCTAATTTTTTTTGTTTATTTGTATCATCTACATTTAAGGATATTTTGACATACATATACTATAACCTCCTAATTATAATTGGCAAATTCTTAATGAACTTATCATCTAAAAGGGAATACAAAACATGACACAGAGGAATAACAAATCACATCCATATGCCGGGAACTAGGAAAGGTTTCACTAAGAAGATAAATGGAAAGATGAGTAGGCAGAAGTAGAAGGAAATGAAAATGAAGCCCATTCCTAATAAAGCAGAAGAGTAATCTGAGCAAAGGAGTAGGAGAAGAATGACACAGAAAAGAAGATTGGCTTACCATGTACCAGAAACATTTGCTTTTACATATGTTAGATTAATCCTATTACAACAAGAGAGGTATTATATCCTCATTTTATAAATGAGGAAACTAAGCTTCAGTGACCCCTTTGGTTGCCAGTGTCAATCTCAGGTCTGTCTAACTCACAGCCCATGTTCTTTCTACTAAGACTTTGAATAGCCTAGTTCAACCAAAATGAGGAGTTAACAAACCTTTTAGCCAAAAGGCCACAACGTAAACACTTTAGGCTTTGTGGTCCGTACAGTCTCTATCCCAATTAACCTCTGACATTGTAGTGTGAAAACAGTCATACACAAAACATAAAGGAATGGGTATGGCTGGGTTTCAATAAACCTTTAATTACAAAAACAGGTGGCTGGCTAGATTTGGCCCTTGGGTCATTTTTTTGCAGACTACTGCTCTAAATGAAGGTTATAAGGAAAAGACTATTGAGAGGGCAGCACCTGTGGCTCAAGGAGTAGGGCACCAGCCCCATATACCAGAGGAGGTGGGTTCAAACCCAGCCCCAGCCAAAAACTACAAAAAAAAAAAAGAAAGAAAGAAAGAAAGAGAAGACTATTGATATATAAAGTTAGAAAAGCAGGTGGGAGTGATGGGAAAATCTATGCTTATTTTCATAAATATCAGGGATTCACTGAAGACATTAGAGTAGATAGAAGCTGAATTGCACCTGAGGAAGATTAACATGAAAAGTGATATGCAATATATATTGGAGAGAACAGAGAATATAGGTTGGGAAAATGCAGAGATTATTTAAACTGACGGCCTTGCCTCAGACTTGACTAAGAAAACAGAAGTCATCAGACCTGATCCCCTTGATCTTCTCATCGGCAAATATACACAATTATCTACATTTGTATTCCAGTTCTTATTTTCCTGTTAAAATGTAGGACATTTTTCCCTTAACAAAGGCTACTGTGTATGCCAGCCCCTCCTGTTTTCTAAGAGTTTGGCACCTTTAGATATATTTTCTTTCTTTTGCACTATGGAGCTCTACTGGACTACAGGCTCATCTATTAGTATGCAAATGTGCTCTTGTGCTCACTTTGGCAGTGTATATACTAAAATTAGAACTATATAGAGAAGATTAGCATGGTCGCTGTGCAAGGATGACGTGCAAATTAGTAAAGTGTTCCATATTTTTAGTACCAATTTGAAATTAGTGCGTTAACAATTACATGCTCACGAGAGAAAATCTAAATTAAATTAAATGGGGGATAGGGGATGGGTAAGTTCCCATCCAATGGGTACACTGATCTGTATATGACACACTTCCTGGATGAAAGACAAAACTACAACACAGACTATTTAACCTTACAAAAGCAATTTATATAACCTAATCATATGTGCCCTCATATTAACCTGAAATTTAAAAAAAAAAAAATTACCATATAAAAACTTTAAAAAGTCCTTCAGTTTTTTCTACTGAACCCACATCTCCCTCTAGCTGCCAACCTGTTTCTCTGCTCTGTTTCATCACCAAATATGAAAAAGAATCATCTACATCCTATCTCCTCTTCACTTTTTTATTCTCCATTCATCCCTCAACTCTTAACGCTCTGGCTCCTTGCCCTAATCTTCCCATGGAACTGTTCTTGTTGAGACTACCAGTAATCTCCATGTTACCAAACCCAGTGGATGCTTTTTCAAGCTCTTTTCCCTTGAACTTTGAGCAGTAATTTGTATTCATGATACTACACTCTGTCTTAATTTACCACCTCCTACCTTACGGGCTGACAAAGCTGAGGCAGGACTTTTGCTGTTTCTTTTTCCTCTACCCTCTAAATGTTAGGTGTTCTTAGGGCTACATCCTGGGCCCTTCTTCTCTTCTGACTCTACTCTCTAATAGGTGATTTCACCAATTTCCATGGATTTTAAATACCATCTCCATGTTGATGGTTTCCAAATAAAGTTCTTCTGAACTTTAGGCTTGCTTTTCAACCATCTGTTTGATACATCTACTTGCACATCTCACAGATATAGAGTGGCCATAAAGTTGTCTATTTTAAATTGCACATGAACTTTATGGCCACCTGTAAATCAGGCTCAATTCTTAACTTTCTTCCTCAGACGTCTCAAACATCTCTCACTTAGGAATCATCCTTGATTCCTCCCTTTACTATATGCCTGTATGTAATCCATTAATGTTTAGCAAGTTCAGTTGGTTTGACTTATGTATTTATGACTTAATCAAAATAAAATAAATGTATTTCAAATCTGCCTTCTTCTCTTTTCTCCATCTTCACTGTAAACACTATCACCTCCTGGAAAAGTCTTACAAGTATTCTTCCTACTTCTAGTCTATCCTCTACACAACCCACACAAAGGCAGAAGTGATCATCTTAAAATGTAATTTGAATTTGAACATATCAGTCCATTGTTTAAAACCCCTTAACTGCTTTTTATCGCACTCAACAAAAATATTCAAACCAAATAAACCTCCTATGGCCTATAAAATCTCAAATAGGCTCTGTGCCCGTAGCTTGGTGGTTAGGGCACCAGCCACATGCACTGGGGTTGGTGTGTTCAAACCTGGCCCCGGGCCTGCTAAACAACAACAACAAAAAAAATAGCTGGGTGTTGTGGCAGGTGCCTGTAGTCCCAGATGCTTGGGAGGCTGAGACAAGAGAATAGTTTAAGCAATTTACATAGGTCGCTGTGAGCTGTGACATCACAGCACTCTGACAAGGGTGACACAGTGAGACTCTTGCCTCAAAAAAAAACATGAATAATGTTTTGCTATTTCTTTCTTTGTTATCATCTTGTCCTATACCTTCTTCCTCACTTTCTAAGACTCACTTGTCATCTTTCCTTTTCTTATAAGCAACCCTAACCTTTGTTCATATAATCTTTACCTGAAATGCATATATTCTTTTTGTGTAGCCATCTCTTTCCTATCCTTTTTAGTTTAAATGGCATCTTCTCAGGAAGACCTATCTGACCTTCTCTCCTCCAATATAAACACTGAAGTTTGCAAATGAACTTAGAAAAAGTCACAATATACACTGGTTAACACTTTAAAAATACTTTTCATTAAGAAAGTTTTAGGGCTCGGTGCCTATAGCTCAACCGGCTAAGGCGCCAGCCACGTACACCTAAGGTGGCGAGTTCAAATCCCCAGCCCGGACCCACCAAACAACAATGACGGCTGCAACCAAAAAATAGCCAGGCGTTGTGGCGGGCGCCTGTGGTCCCAGCTACTTGGGAGGCGGAGGCAGGAGACTCGCTGGAGCCCAGGAGTTGGAGGTTGCTGTGAGCTGTAATGCCACGGCACTCTACCCAGGGAGACAGCTTGAGGCTCTGTCTCAAAAAAAAAAAAAAATAAAAAAAAAAAAAAAGTTCTAGCAAATCATCACACAAAAAAGATTAAGAGATGACTTTTTCTTTTGATCTAGCTATAAAATTATGCTTATTTTCACACTCAAATCTCTTCAAATGGGAAACAACTTTTCCAAACCATAAACTTCTCTTTTCCTTGTATACTGCTTGTCAGAATCTGCTTTTTCCATGTCTAGTACTGAAGACCACAATTAGATAGTGATTTTTATTTCAAAAAGAAAGACAAAAGTTGTGAGTCAGTCATAGGAAATGAGCTCATTAGCAAGGTCCTGGATATAGTATATTTCATTTTCTTTTTCTTATTTTTTGAGACAGAGTCTCACTATGTTGCTCCCAGTAGAGTGCTGTGGCATCACAGCTCACAGCAACCTCAAACTCTTGGGCTTAAGCGATTCTCTTGCCTCAGCCTCCTGAGTAGCTGGGACTATAGGCGCTGGCCACAACACCTGGCTATCTTTTGTTGCAGTTGTCATTGTTTTACCTGGTCCAGGTCAGGTGCAAATCCGCTACCCTCGGTGTATGTGGCTGGCGCTATAACCACTATGCTACAGGCACTGAGCCTATATTCCATTTTCATGGCCTACAATTCTTGCTTCAGTTCTTAGTCTTTTATTATTGTAAACTTTTGCCTAGCTTCCTAATCTCGAAGATACTAAAAATTATTTGTACCATGGTTCTTAATCCCTGATGCCTAGGTTTATCTTCTTAATGTCAAACCTACTGCTCACTCTCTGATCTCCTGTCCTTGCTTCTTTTCCTGCCCCTATCACCCAAGCACATACCCTGCAGTAACACATAGACACACCTAAGATACACAAATGTCTATAAACAAAATTATTTAGAAGAGGTGTATAATAGCAAAAGAGCCAGGATTATAATTTTAAGCATGAAATCTTCATCTAACAGGCAGTGAGGAAGAAGTGTTAATAATAATAATCATAACTATTATTTATTAAGGAGTTTCCAGAGGTGATGAACTCAATACAAGTATTTTATATGCCTGATCTCATGCACTACTCATGGTCAGTCTCTGAAGTAGGTATTATTAAACTTGTTTCAGTTATCGTGGATTTGAGTTCAAATAAGAGATGTCAGGCTCTAACCAAGGAGGGAACAATTTAATTAACTGGAGAAAACATCTTAAGATTAAACACGACAACAATAGGAATAAAAGGCATGTTTCTCTTAAGAAGAGAGTAGCAAATGTTACCTGGGTCCCCTGGAGGAATGAGCCCCAATATAGATGGTCTTCTCAGTGGTGGTCTAGCCTTAGGCAAATGGAAAGGGAATGAACTAGGGGAAAACAAAGCAGGTGCAGCGGTAGCCCCTTCTATTGGAGGTAGTGTTCGCGTCATTCGAACAGGTTCTGGAGACATCCCCTTAAAAAAAAAAGAAAGATAAATAAACTGTGAAATGACATTATATATTTAATATTTATAAAAACTTCCCTGCACTTACTAAAAATATTTAAGAGAAAGACTTCAAAATCTGCCAACATTCCACAAAATTCACTTCTTAATAATCTCCAAGGGCTCAAAAATGTTTTATTTTGTTGTCTCTGTGTCTTAGTTGCTCTAAGTTGTCAATTTGGAAACCTTTTTTTCACATGATGAGGAAAAAATGTGTGTGCATTTTTTCTACCTTCTCTGAGAAATAAAAAATTATTTGTGAGATATAAACAAACAACTACTACAAAACATTAATGGCCTATTTCTTAACCTTTTCATATATACTCTTTCATAATAAAAAGCTATATTTAACCTTTTTACTTCAAAAGGAATGTCTTAGGACTTAAGGTAATTTTCAAAAAAATAGAGTATTTCAAAAATTATTTTCCATTTACATTTTAAAAGTATATGTGTCACTGAAACAATTTTCAAGCATAGGAGAATCTCTAAAAGTGTGTAGCATTATGCAAGACCATTAAGTTCTAGAGAACTCTGTACAACATAACATTATGCCTCAAGTTACAATAATGTATTGCACACTTAAAAATATATTAAGTATTGGGCGGCGCCTGTGGCTCAAAGGAGTAGGGTGCTGGCCTCATATGCCAGAAGTGGCGGGTTCAAACCCAGCCCTGACCAAAAACTGCAAAAAAAAAAAAATATATA